GACAGAAGGACCCGAGGCCCCGCTGCACTTTTTCGGTAAGTTAAACGTGTTTGTAAGCTAATCCGTAAATATCATCCTTAGCTAGGTCCTGAGACCTAGCTAGCTAAAATGAGCACTCGGCCGTCAGGGTTCGTTTAGCTAATCTGTACAGGTGAATGAATTTACTAAAGAATTTTACTAAAAAAATCAAGAGAAACGCCCCGGGCTACTCAGTCACTAATTACTTACTGTTGTAAGATGGCGCCGAGTATGGCAGCCTCGTCGCGAGCTCCCCCAAGCAACAGCTGTTTTTTGTGTTTAATTTTACTTTTCCTTTATTTTTTCACGAGTAGCACATGTCTCCTTGTGTACGACCGACAAACCTTACTGGACATAAAAGACGGACTTTCTCATCACTTTCCGGAGTTCAAGTTTTGCAACACGGACCCTCCGTTTGCAGACCTCCCATTCATCTCACCTGAGACGCCTTTGTTCTCTGGCCCTGGAGGCCGCAAACGCCGACGCAGAGGGAGAAGATCTGGCATTCTAGTTCGACTGAGACGACGCACTAACAGACCACCGTTACCCAGTTTATTGCTGGCTAATGTGCAGTCTCTGGAGAACAAGCTGTGCGAGCTTCGGGCACGGATCTCATTCCAGTGAGAGATGCGGGACTGCTGCGTGATCTGCCTTACAGAAACCTGGCTATCGGATAAGGTACCGGACTCCGCAATACAACTACCGGGGTTCTGCTCACCGGACCTGGAGTACCTGATGATTAAGTGCCGGCCATTCTGGCTACCGAGGGAATATACAGCAGTGATTATTACGACTGTTTACATTCCCCCACAAGCCGACACTGACCGAGCACTCAGGGAACTGTACAGCGCGATCAGCAGTGAGGAAACCGCACACCCAGAGGCGACGTTTATCACGACCGGGGACTTTAATAAAGGAAACCTGAAGAAAGTTTCACCAAAATTCCACCAACACATCCATTTCAACACTCGTGGAGACAGGCTACTTGACCACTGCTACACCTCTTTCCGGGATGC